GAAAGGCAAACTCACATATTCCTTGGAAAATTCCTCAGCAATCTCCATTGCAAGTTCTCCATGTATAGCTTTGCAATACATATACAACACTGTATTCGCCGCAATGTTGTAAAGGAACAACAACATCAGCAATGTTGAAGCAATCACTATTTGTAACACAAATGCCCAACTCCACCCGTTACTGATACCACCAAAACGAGAAACTAAATCCTAGCTGCTCCAAATTAAAATCCCAACAAAAAATGCAAAACATGAACTCAAAGACAAAGCCACAAATCTATATCCTTCCACCAAATTTTTACTTCTCTTGAATGGCTTAAACCCCCAGCTGGATTCCACCACCACCACCACAGACACCAAAGCCCAATTTACTTGCAAATAAACAAAAATCAACAATAAAAAAGTAATGAGGAGCAAAACATACCCCACAAAGAAGGGAGAAGAGTACGAGGACTCACACTGAAAACCAACTAACTTAACGACCAAAAACACCACAATAAAAAAAAAGGCAATAATCGCAGATACGATTATTTGACAAAGAACAGTGGTAGCAAGAAGAGGGAAAAAATAAATGAAAATGGATTTAATAGTAGACATAAACTTGACAGGTCTACCATAGAAGCCATGGAAGACACTGTAGGTGATAGAACCAGCAGAGCAGAGAGATAAAACAAAGGTAAAAACCGAGAAGAAGAGAGTGAAAAGAAGGCTTTGTTTGTCGAACTTTAGAGTAGGGATGGTGGAACGATAAAAAGCGTGGCTAAGAAGAGTTCTGGAGTCGTTTGTAGTTAAGTGAAGAAGGAGTTGTTGGAGGGTAGGGAAAACGACGATGGAGAAAGACAAGGGGAGAAGAAAGAGGACTGAGAGAGCCAGGAAGTGACGTGAGTGTGCTTTGATTATGCGTTTCGATTCGGAGAGGATGGTGCAGAGACTGAGATGTGGCATTGACGTGGTGGATCAGAGATAAAGAAAACACTGTAGAGAATGACGACGATGAAGAAAGAACGAAAAAGTGGAGATGGGTGATGGTTTGTAGTTTAGCTACAAAGGATGGCGTCCAGTGAGATTGATTGGCTTGCTTATGAGCTCATTTTAGTTTGTTTGTAGTAAGGAAACTTCCTAAAGGTTTAAATGGTAAAGAGACAAGATTGATAAATTATGATAGCGGTCTTTTTTTTTTTTTTAAAAATTGATTTATACCTACTTAAAATTTTTATAACATGTATTCAAAATTTCGAGTGAGAAAACATCTTTATTATATAAAGAGGAATGGTCAATTAGACTATAGAGATATTTGATTACCCCTCTGGTCAGCCATTTCAAATACAGAATTCGTTACTGTTAGTATAAGTCTCACATTGATTAAGAAACGAGGGTTTTGGTCGCTTATATAACACAAAAAGAGTCCCTCATCATCCAAAGATGCATTTTTAGGACAAAATGATAAGAGCTTGAAAGTATATATTTTGTTAGTGATTTAATTGGATTATTTGTAAAAAAATGTATTTAATTTATGGAATTTGAATTAATTATTTCATAGATACCTTTTACGAGATCACAAGTGTATTTTGCGCATTTTTAGGTTCAAACCGATATTTGAAGCAAAAATAATGATGTCGATAGAATTCATGACAAGTAAGAACAAACGGTGCAAGAATCGGAGTTGAAATGAAAAAGTTGTGACGCGTCGAAGATACAACGTAAAATCTGGAAATCCTTCAAGATGAGTATGCTTCGATGTTTCTGTCATAACTTGAGCTGTAGAAATTAGAATTTCACAATTCTTGTGGTGTTGGAAAGATTATTTAGAGAGCTACAAAGTTTGTGTAGATGACTTAACCAAATTCTAGAGATCATAGACTCATTGGACAGAAAGAACGATCGTCACAGCGACTATTTCTTATCGCCGCAGCGATGGGTCACGAGTCTGTTTGGGTTATTGCATTTTCCTAGTCCGAATCTGAATGGGTTAAGCATTTAATTATTTCCTAAGTAACCTCCAAACCCTAGCACTATAAATAAGGGTCTTTAAGTAGTTTTTAGGGAGATTAGAGAAGGAGAAAGGACAATTACTATTTTGGAGATCAGAATTCCTGTAGTTCTCGTTCACCCATTAGAGAAGTTTTTATTTTTTTCTTTCTTGAACTCATGTTATTGAATACAATGGTTATTTTTATTACTACAATTATGAACTAAATCCCTTTTCTAGGGCTAAAGATGTAGCCCAATTTATGAATATGTGTTGATGTTATTGTTGTTGATTTCATAGTGAGCAGTAATTCTAAGTTTTATTATTGTGTGTAATGTTTTCAATTCTCAAGGGCCTGAGAGTTGAATGATTTTATGAGTTGGGTTGAGATCGAGAGATGAAACCTGATTAGTCTAAGGTAATAAAATCATAGATTGAGAGAACACTAAAGATAGGTTACCGCGATCTGGTAAATTCCATAGAACTTAATGATCTCTTAGCATCTAAATCCAACTTAGAAATATTTTAGGTTGTTGCTTAAGAGTTAATTCGCTAATTGTTCGAGAGAATGTTAGTGGAATATTAGGGAGTTTGACCTTTAGAATAAGCTTAATTAGATTAGCAATAATTGTCAATGCATAGGATTAAATTGGTGTAAAATCTGTGCCCTATATTTAGTCATATTGATTTCTTTACCAAAGTATTAATAAAATTCTGCTTTTGTTTAGTTTTTAGTTTGTTTTTTTTTTCATTAAATTCATTCTTAAAATTCTGTTTCATCAAATAGCAACAAAATAGACTAGTTTGGTACTTGGTAGGTAGTTCTCTTGGGATTCGACACTCGTTTACTTGAGTTTTATTACTTGCGTGATTTCGTACACTTGCGAATAGCCTGTCACAAAACCATGTGACCCTTGCTTCTCAAAGCGGATAATACTTCTATAAAACTTTATGAAATCCTTGCTTTTAGAAGGCCAGAATTGTCAGGTTTTAAGTGTTGAATAATTATTGGTATTTCAAAAAGAATTAAGAGAACTGTTATTATTTTCATTCCATTTGACCAATTATTCCTAAAGTTTAGCAATGAGTTTTACTAACTGTTGGAGTTAGCATTATCCTTGACTTCTTCACAACGTTCATAAGCCTTATCTTTCTCTCATCTTTCCTCAAGCACAATGTTATTATAACGTTATAATAAATAGAGTACTATCCTTGACAGGGGTGGATCCAACCCCTCATATTTTAAAAAAAAATTTACTAATATATGGGTTCACAAAAAATTTCTCTCTATATATATATAAGCACACATCGTATTAAAAGTTTAAAATTCTCTCTACTCTTCTTCTTCACTGCTCTACCTACTTTTTATGATTTTATCCCCAAAATTCTTTACTCTCTCATTCTCTTTCTCATGTTATTCGCTCTTAAAACTTATGAAGAGTGAAATTGTTGAAGCTTTCACTACTCAAGGTGCCACAATTCGCTTCGTTTTCTGTTTTATCAGTTTTAGTATGTGTGTTGCTCATTTCAATTTAGTTTATTTAATGGTTGAATCATGCTTCTTTTTTAAAAGGTTTTTTGTTCTAATTTGAGGGAAAAAGACATGGATCTTGTGAGTTTATTTTGTGTTTTGTGTCTAAGAATGTTCATGTTTTCTCAAATTAAAACCTTAATTATATTTTAAAGGACATTATTTTTCACCCTTTACCCACCACTTTCCTACATTTCAAACGTCATCGTTCAATGCTCATAAATATTAAAGAAATTTGAGTTAGTATCTATGTTTATACCAAGAAAATTCCCCATTTTTTTTATTAATTCCTATTAAAAGTCAACACAACGTTGACTTGATTTAAGTTTTTGTTGACTTTAGCTTACGCTATGTCTGATCAACATCATGAAAATTTATATTATAATATTTGGAAGTAAAAAATAAATAAATAAATAAATTAATTAAAAGAAGGTTTACTCAATACATTTACTTAAAATTTTGCTTCTTATAGATTTATTTAAGTAAGAAAGTATTGTATTATTGTATTGTTGTTCTTTCAGGTTCTTGATATTGTATTGTTATCTTTGCTTAAAGTTTGGTGAGTGATTTTTTTAAATTTTTTACTAGTTGTTTGGTAAACAATGGCGAAGTAGCAGAGGCCTCTCACAAAAATCCTGAATCAGCCAATGATCCTTGACTTCTTTACGAGCCTTATCCTATAACTTATTAGTAATAATTTTAAATTTAGTAACAAAATAAATTACTACGAATAGGTTTAAGCCATTGTTCACCTCCAAATCCTTCATTACATTCAGCCATACATCTCCACTAAAAGCCTAGAATTACGTTCTAATTGAAAAAGGTTTTTATAAAAATGGTATTACAATTAGGAGGACATAAGTTTTTATTTATTTTTATATATGATAACAATTCCATAAAAGAAAAATTTAAATACAAAAGATATATAAAATTAAATTGATTTCAATCCAGCAAGAGAATCTGCCTCATGCACTTTGTTTTTCTATTACTTAACCTAAATTTTTTTTCAGAGACAATACAAGAAACAAAGTACTTCTGAGACATTACAAAGCAATAAAATCTAATAATCTTTAAGAAGAGGTCCTTTTCCATCATCAAAATGAATGCTTACATATTCCTTTCCCCATCAACAACAGCCTTGCAATGTATATACAACATAGTATTGGCCTACACATGTGAGGAACACCCAAAAAAGTAGCAAATGTGAAGTCGTCAAAGATAGAAACACAAGTGCCACATCCCACTTATCACCAAAATCTGTACCAAAAAAAATTGTACTCGCTAACAAACTGTTCCAAACTGAAAGCCCTATCATCATTAAAAAAGTCAAATACAGAGACAAACCCGCCGATTTATATTCATTTATTAGACTTGCACTCCTCTTTAAAGCCTTCACGCCCCAGCTTGATTCAACCACCACAATCACAGGTACCAAACTCCACTTCACTTCCAAATAAACCAAAACAACAGATAAACAATCAAAATAACCAATCCAAACCATTAAAAATAAGGAGAAGAGTAATCATGGTGATCGAACCCAACAACTTCAGCAAATTTAACAACCGAAAACAAGAAAACTGCTGTTGATGCGTGCTTTTGACACCAACTAATCGACAGGTGCGTAAAGTTGATTGGTCAAGAGACACGTGATTATGGATAAAATGTAGAGTAAATGCAACAATGAGAGCTTTTTAAAGTGGTTCGGATGCTAAGGTAGCAAATCCTACGTCCACTGATAGTTGTATTAGAATCGTGGGTCAGGTCGCAACAGCGGACTGACTTACAAATGATTAGGGAAAAGTAAATACAAAGATACAAGAAAGAGAGAAAGCTAGTTCAGAGTGTAAAAAGGCCGAATCCCCTCAATGAAGGGGTTTTTCCTTTTTATAGTGAGATGAGTGCAGATAATCATCATTAAATCCGTGGGTTGGTGTGAATGTCAGGACTAAATCTGGCTTTACGTCACATTGCCCACCTTCCAAGCTGATTTCACGCGATTTGGAGCAGGGAATAGACACGTGGGAACTCCACGGCGTCTTACAGGCCTGACGTGTGCTTACCGTTCTGACGGGAGCAGGTCACCCCCCATCACATGATTTCCCACATCAGCCCTTGATTTCCCAGGCATAACAGAAGTCCCCTAGTTTTTAAGGTTTGAGGATCAAACCTTGAAAACTAAGTCATGCCGCGATTGGAGGCCCTGACCATTCCGACTTGAATGAAAGAAGCTCGGGATAGGACCTTTTGTGAACATGACCTCGCGTAAACCTCATCCGAACGACCTGACAGCCATCGCCCAAGCGTCTTGACTTCATCGGGCGTTCTTTACTGTGCCTTAGAGATGGAGATTTAATAAGGTCGTCTCTGCGTTGACAGGCACTCTGCACGTGTCAGGTGTCTGCCAGGCGCATTAAATGCATTGTGTGCTGATGCGTTACTGCTTTGGCAGAGCATTAATTGCATGACACGCCCGAAACGACAACCCTCATCACAGTAATAAATGCGGCGTGGGGCGCATTTAATGCGGAGAGAGAGAGAAACGTCGTTTTGATTCCGAGGGGCGGTAAATGCCGGTTTGTAGTCCATATAAAAACCCAGATTTTCCAGATGAGGCCACCAGAATCCCATTTGCCTTGAGCGAAAACTCTCTGCAAACCGGAAGCCTTTCTTTTCCGATTGACATCTCTCCGATACCTGAAGCAAGAACCATCCACGGTCACGTCCCCCAAAAGGTAAGGGTTTTTTGTTCCCCCCTTTTTTTTTTGGTGGTACAATGGCGTTGCATCATCTGATGTTTCGTCAGAGGCGCGACGATGGAGTCGGGTTCCTGCCATGAATGGCGGCTCGAATCACTGTTAGGTTTTAGGGAATTTGCTCCAAGCCGCCGTACGGGGCGACATACAATGGCTAAAATGACCTTCTATCTGTCGGTGTTGCAGACTGCGGAATGGAACCCTCAGCATCCAGATCCGAAGAAGGAGCCGGTTCGTCTTCGCGGGATGTTCCCGTGGACGAATCCCTTAAGGTCTTCTCGGTTCTCACCCGAGAAGAATTTGAGAGGATAAAGAGACAGTTCGGCGTCCGTGCGGGGGTGTTCCTCGACGCCACCCGGTCGTCGCGGCATCTTTCCGATAGCCTGGCTGCGATCTCCGAAGAGATCTTCAAGAGTGGGGGATGATTCCTCTCCACCCTTTTATTAGGTCGGTCCTGGATCACTTCGGGATCGCACCAATGCAATTAACGCCAAACGCATATGTCATCGTTATTGCGATGTACATCGCGTGTCGTGAGAGCAGCTTGGGCGAGCTAACAGAGGTGGAGCTCGGCTGTTCGTATTACCTCAAAAGGAGTAAGGACAAAGATTCTTATTACTTATCTCGGCGATCTACCATCGCCGAAGGGATACATAGCTATCCCAGCAACGCGGGGGCCTACGAGACGAAGTTCTTCTTCTTCTGCTACGACGGCTACTACCGCTTTCAGAAACCAAGTAAGTCCCTCTTCGCTAGATTCATTAACTATGCGCTCGCTTTTTCTAACGACCTGCATTCTTTTGCAGTTAACAAGACGACCAGCCTAGACCTGCTCACCGACCCGGACAGGATTGTGTCTTTTGGGGTTCTCCCCGAAGAAAGTCGAGATGCGAGGAAGCTCGTGACGACTGTGAACTTGTGGAAGTATGATTTTTTCAACGACCAGGTGTCTTTAGAGTCCCCAGAATGTAAGTTGCACACTGATTCCTTTCTGGTCGTGGAATAATTTTTGCTTAGTTACTAACGCACCTGCATGCAGCGACCATGCCTTCGAAAGAATCCGAGCAGCCCCGGCGAGCACCATTCAACTTCCTTCGATCGAGGAAAGAAAGGGCGGCCGAAGCTGCTCACCCCACAGCAGTACAACCGGTGTGAACTGCCACGCCTTCCCAGTCCTGTCCTGAGCAAGAAACGACCAAGATAGAACAGGTCGCTTAGCCACCACCTGCTCGCCCGAGGCGGAAGGCTCCGGCCTAGCGGTCGAAGAAGAGGAAGCAGATTTAGATCGATGAGTTAGAGACCGAATCTGAGGAAGAACCACTAAGGTGGCGGCGAGACGTCAGAAGGAGGTCGGGCAAGGAACCCGCGGATGAGACGGTTGCTGCCGACAAGGCGAAGGACACATCAGTGTTGGATTCATTGGGGAACCTACCCGAATACCTGCAGCCGATAGTCTACTCTCTGCTTGAGTGTGGGCTATCGGAGTCATATGATGAGTTCGCTGATACGGGCGTTGACCTGATGACCATGTCGTTCCAGCATCTAAGCAAGGTAAACGAATTGTTCTTAGAGAGTTTGTTCGCCATTTTCATTCTAACTCACTTCTTGTTCGCAGGCTTTGCTTGCCATGAGGATGTCCATGGAGAAAGCTCGACTGAGGGCCGCGAAGGGGGCAAATGATCTGAAAGAGGAGATCGCGAAGCTCAAACAGAGCCTGGAGACCATCGAAGCGAAAAGAACGTAATCGTTTGAGGCGGCGAACAGATACTTGAACCAAAAGGAGGCCGCTATGCGGACAGTTGACTTCCAAAAGACGGAGCTTGAACGGCGTGCGAAGGAAGTAAAAAAGCTTCAGAGGACAACCGCTAGGCTCTCCAAGGAGATCAGAGAGAAGGACTAGGAGCTCCAGACGACCTTAATACGGGCTCAGCGAGCAGAACAAGAAAGGGAGGCCTCCGAAAAGGAAAGGCTAGCTCTCGAGGCCGAACTCCAGGAGAGTTAGGGAAAAATTGCTTCCCTGACTGAAGAAATGCGGATCCAGTCAGAGGAGATCGAGGATAAGGCCGTCGACTAGGCGATCGGGTCCATTTATACCCTGCGACCAAAGAACCCAGATCTGGATATGTCCGACCTCCCAAAGGGGTGGCAAGAGACCTTACAGATATTGGCAGAGGGAAGATAATCAAGCAGCAGCAGTAGTTGCCCGAGGATCCGACCAGGAAGAGGGTTCGGGTCTTGCTTCGAAGGATCCCCCCACCGACAAGGCATAGTGCGATGAGACCGACTCCATAGGAATTAATAGGGTCTTAACAATTTTTGTTGTACATGAGATACGCTTTGCTTTCAATCGCTGTTCGCTTAATCATACACGAGTGCAGTTTACAGTTCAGTTTGTTTACATAGGCAATATTACATGCGAATTGTTACAAGCGAACAGGATAATATCCTACAATAAAAAGGGAACTAACAAAATCAAAACCTAATTTACAATGAGCACTGAGTTCACGATTACTGATAGTATGGCCGGAGGTGCTCGGCATTCCAAGCTCGGGGTACTTTGGAACCGTTTGGCCTTTTGAGATGGTAAGTCCCCGGTCTGATCACCTTGTCGACCTGGTATAGACCTTTCCAGTTCGGTCCTAATACCCCCGCGCTTGGCTCTCTGGTTCTGAGGAGAACTTCTTTTAGCACAAGGTCACCGACCTGGAAGTCTCTTCGCTTGACCTTTGAATGGAAGAATCTCTTCGCACGCTGTTGGTAGGCTGCTATCCTTAGCGAAGCTTTGCTGCGGTGCTCCTCAACAAGATCCAGGCTCGCTCTCATAAGTGCTTCGTTTTCAACCTCATCGTACAAGTCTCTTCGAAGAGAACCAGTTCCTACCTCTACAGGAATCATTGCTTCACAGCCATAGGCTAGCGAAAAAGGCGTTTCTGAGGTGGAGGTTCTCGGAGTTGTCCTATACGCCCATAAGACTTCGGGGAGATCGTCGGCCTAATTTCCTTTGGCTGCCCCAAGTTTGGCCTTTAGAGTGTGTTTGATGGTCTTGTTAACAGCTTCAACTTGGCCATTTGCTTGCGGTCTGGCTACTGAGGTAAATTTTTTATGGATGCCCAGCTTGTCGCAGAACTGCTTGAACTCCTCGTTATCGAATTGCTTTCCATTATCCGAGATGAGGGTGTGGGGATTCCGTAGTGGCACACTATATTCTTGAAAACGAAGTCTTTCAGCTTTCTGGTTGTGATCGCGGCCAGTGGTTTAGCTTCCACCCATTTTGTGAAATAGTCTACCGCGACCACGGCATACTTAACCCCCCTTTTTCCGACTGGCATGGGACCGATAAGGTCGATCCCCTACATGGAAAATGGCCAGGGGCTAGACATCGTTATCAGCTCGTGGGAGGGGGCTCGCGGAATGTTCGCGAACTGCTGACACCTGTCACACCTCTTGACAAAATTGTGCGTATCTTCTTGGATCCGGGGCCAATAATACCCTTGACGAACAACCTTGTTCGCAAGAGATCGAGCAGTTGTGTGATTACTGCAGATCCCTTCGTGAATTTCCCTCATGATATAGTCTGCTTCTTCACTGGTTACACATCGGAAGAGAGGGGCACTGAATCCTCTCCTATACAGCTGGTCCCCGATGAGTGTGTAACGAGCAGATCTTGCTCGCAGGACCCTTGCCTCGACCTTGTCGTCTGGCAAGGTCCCATCCTTGAGGTACTGGAAAATGGGAGTCATCCAGGAGCCCCGGTTGAGGCACATTTACGACCCGTTCGGTTGAACTGTAGTTGGAGCATCGACAAACCAAATAGGAATGCTATC